AAAATGGATACGAGCCGTTATTCAATTCCGTTTGCTGGGAGTCTGGTTTTGGAACGGGATCCATGTGTTTTGTAATTTGTACAGACGTACCACGGTTCAGTTTGGCGTTATGTTTCACCGATTTTTTGCATGCACCGCGTTATCAGATCCATACGTGAGCCAATGAAAATAAAACAAAGATGATCGCCAGTTGCACACCCGACTCCTCCTTGATTGGAAATCCGTTCACACTGTGAGACGAAAGCGCCAGTGCCCCGTTGTTGCTGGAATTCCCTGTAACAGAACGACCGAGCTGGAGCTGCGCACCAGCTCGAGAACTACGTCGACCCATGTCTTGCTGAAATGTGTAGCGCTCCTCCTCTTCCATTCGTTGTCTTTGTTGTTGTTGTTTCTGCCTAGTCAGTTCTAAATCAATATGGCTTTGTAGTCTGGACTCATAGTTGAATGTACAACCGTCAGGCAGGGTCTCTTTGAAATAGTTCATTACCAGGCGTACAGCATCCGGAGGGCACGTGTTATGCAATACGGCGTACAGGCACTCCAACTTGGCCAGTAGAGATCTGGAATCGTAAGGTAATGAAAAGCAGATTACCATTCCAAGTAGTCGTGATTAGGCCGCATATAAATATTTCAATTTAAAAACAATTTGATGGTTTTGTGTTGATTTCGAGATTATTTTTGATGGGACTCTGCATTAATCCTATGGAGCATATTTGACAGCCAAAATGTTTGAAATTGCTTATTGATTTTTAGTAGCAAACAAATTACTGCGTAAAATATTTTGCAAACATTGTCAGCTTTTATAAAAAAATTTACTCCGATTAGAGAGAACAGAGTCAAACTCATGGGCGATTTATGAGGGACGGGTGGGAACTCTTGGTCTTGGATGAATGTGTATTCAAGTATCTTTTTCTCTTAGATTCCTTGATTCACTTTTAATCACGGTCTATTTTGATGCGGTCTATTAACAAAGTTTCCTCCCCACTGCCTGACTTTGTTGCTGTTTGGTCAATCTACAGTTTGAGAATCCAGCTACCATATTTGCTGGCTTCGATATTTCATTTCAGTGCACGTAGATCAGTGCCTTTATTTCGAGATTTGATTTATGCTTTAAACAAGTCCGTAAACCATATGGACGTCAATCCACCATACCTACTCTAAATGCACTTTTTCAAGTAATGGTATAGATTGTGGTGATTGGCCAAAGTGAAGAAGTATGTGAAAGCTAGTGGGCTCGACATCGGTGATGTCTATAGGCTGTCCAATTGACGGTCGAGTTGTTGAGCACACAACATTATGGAACACTCAATTTTACATCAGACAGTTTTATTGTGATGCACATTTTCGAGGGGAACTGAAACTTGTTGTTTTGAAGAACGTCAAAGAATTTTGAGTGGGGACGTTTCGGGTCAGTATTGTAAAACACTTATCCAATAAAAAATATCAGTATCTAATTAAAGTCCACCAGATTCTTTTTTTGGAAACAGGTGTCACTTTGTAGCTTTCATCTTGACATATTCCCCACAAACGGCTGTGTGCGTGGGTAAAATGAACACTGTCCGCGTCAACATGAAATGTATCCTTGTGCATACAGCTACCACATGCAAATTACCAGGAACTGTCTCATGTATGCTTGGAACCCGAAGCACGGCAATAACAGGAACCATTGAGTATCACATCTTCCACTGTTCAACAAATGCAAGCTAAAGATAGCTTGGGGATTTAATTTGTAGATCTCTAATCAATGCAACTCCGTTCCTGTGCAGAATTTTGACGAACGACATATGTACTCTGGATTTGTTTCGGGATTATCTCGCTTACATGATAGGTTACTGAGTTTCTTATACAACCCAGTTCCTCGGAGTGCGGTAAATGATTTAAATTCCCTTTTTGTTTTATTTTGAAATAAAATTCCTGAAACAGTACAATAAAGTTCGTAACAGAAAGCAAATCGAGTATTGCATTTCTTCTAATTAGGGTCATCAGTATATTATTATGTCTTCCTAAAATGACCATCTGATTATCTCAGACGTTGTCACTCTTTTCCTGACCAGCCAGCTACTCTCTCACCGCGTGTGAAAAGATATTCTATCATCGACATCGGTGAAAGAACCATTGCCCCCTTCACCAAATCAAACTGCTTTCACCAATTCAAGTGTGGATGCTCGACCATCTACATAGGCAGGACAGAGAAGCAGTTACGTCACTGAATAGCCGAATACATCCCGGTGTGGCTTAGGAAAACGATGGACGACAAGTTCAAAACTGTTACATCATCGAATGAGCAGAAAAGACTAAAATCTTCGATAACACAACACTTATTCGAACAAAAACATTGTGTCACTCCAACTCACGCATTTCAGATCATCTACTCAACACACAACAAACACAAAGTTACTGAAATTTACCGAGGCCCCAAGCATTCGAACCCTCAAACCCAATCTATGCAAACAACGTGAATGGTTAGCTTTGTCTTTACCCCCCCCTCGTGCACCCTCTCCCGTTCTTTGTGTTACTNTGTCGTGTTGTGCGTTGTGATTAGCAATCATGTCTTCATTTCACGGTGATTATCTCACTGACTGTATACAAATGACTTTGACTGCAGTATGCAAGTGTGCAGATGCAGCGAAATGACCATGGATACATTTTGCAAACCCATGTTTCTGACTTCTTTATTAAAATATATTATGTTTGGTATGGGTCTAACTAATTAGCCTGTCTAGTTGATAACAGAATTTTAAATTAGTGCAATTTCTCTGGAAAAACTGTTGGCAACAGTACCCTTAGCTAATCATCACGCTACACGTTTGTGTTCCATTCCAGAAATTAAAGTTGACTTCTGACTTATTTCAACTGGATCCCCTCAGGATTTTTGAAGTTGCCCGTAACTAATTGTTAGGAATAATAATGACAGGGAATGACAGACGGCATTATTTCTCCACACGACGTTTATTTCCTTCGCCCTTAAGCCAAATAAAAAACTTTACTTATTGTAGAACAGACAAAATTTAGTCAAGCAGGGTATTGTTATTGGCAACACAAGTGCAACACTGCCTTGTCAATTCATCTTTTCCATTTGCCTTAGGGTTCGTTTATCGCCCCTCTAGGCTTGATATTAAAAAGAACTCGTTTTCCTTCTCAGTTCGATCTTTAGTCTTGTGATTATACACAATCTTCTACATAATTTGCATTGTCATTGCAGTGAAATAAATATGCATATTAAGTTTAGTTTTATTATATGTAAGTTTTTTTATGCATACGATCCAGTTTGAACAATACCATAAATATTGCTGTATACCTGCTGATCGTATTACAAAATCTGTCTCATATCCACCCATTAGTTTTGAATAAACGTTTCTCCCTGTGAACGTAACACCACCTGGACAAATAACGTCTTCCAAAATCTTGCTCGTAGTTTAGTCAATCAAGCATCCATTGTTATAGAATTGAGTAATTATCACTTTCATTCGTGTTATAACATTCCTATTGTGTGTACCTGCTTTTTATTGCTGTATCTGTTTTATGAGTAAACCTTTTCATCGCGTCTAGTGAAAGACAGTGTTCTGTGCTATTCCAGCGCTGTTGGTCACCGCTTTGAAGGTGTTCTGTTTTAGTCCCATCATTGCTGCTCACCCATTTCCCTATTTCTCTATTTCTCTATAGACTGCTTCGTTGCTTATGAAAAGGTAGTGTACATTTATCTAGCTAATCGCAGACTTCACTTAAATAGTTTGGTGTAGCAAACGTACTCAAAATCCAGTGAACGTAATAAATGGTGCGTTTGTTTTACTGTATCCATATCTTTTAGATAAAGCTTTGCAAAAGTGAATTCCAGAAATAAAAAGGCAGGCTGCAACCTGGGAGTTTTGTGGTATATGTGGAAAAGGGGCATGCCAGGTTTATTATAATATGGGGTATTTCCAAGTAGGATGAAGTAGCGTTTCAAATTTCTTTGTTAGGATTTAAATACTTTTCCAACCTTCCTCTAAACGACCTGGAAGCTTTTCTTTCAAAATAGTTCCTCATCATTTATTGAGCATTACAAGAAATGAAACAAAAACACAAATAAACCAAATTTGCAGTTATGTACGACAAGTTCTATGAGGGAAACAGCCACCTGTGAATTATCTAAATAACAAATCGATTATCTCACTTTACATATTTTGTGTGTATGTAGCTTTGATCACAGCTGTTTGGTCGTTGTACCAACAACGTGGATGGGACTATAAACAGTTCACAGGGAAGGTACCCGAAACAAAGCGAAACAAACTGTCTCCCAGAAAGAGACTGATCTATCCAGTACCAGCAATTCGTAGCACTCCGCTCCGCTGTTCTATTTGTTGCACTGCACAACTCCCATCCGGAACAATCAGTCAGAATAACACAGATGTATTCTGTGAATTTTGTTCCGTTGTGCACACTCTCTTGTCCCCCATTGTCATCGGTCACGATTACCGTGTTTGACATCCGAGCAAATCGGAACATGACATATCATCGTGAACTGTCACTTGACCGCTTGTGGAGTACTAAATAGGTGCCTCTGTCTGTGTGATGCTTGTCCACGGCTGAGCTGCGTGGCGGAGGGAGGCCTCGAGCGAAGTACACCTGTGATTTGCCTGTTCGTTTCTATTGTGTATTCTCTTTTAGAGAAGGGGAAAGTTGAACAAGCAGGACTGATTTAGTTCGTGCTACACATTTGTCATATCCTGTGTGTCAAGTTAACCCCCACCCTCGGTCGACCTGACTCGAACTGCCTGCAGTGATGAACAACAAAAAAATACACCATCAAATAAGAATTCCCTGAATTTTTGAGCATTTGATCGTCAATTCAGTCAAACACCCAGACTGTCCTGATCACTTCTTATGTCGTCATAATCTCGCTGAATCAATTCGTCTCATCCAACGATCAGGTGGAATATTTGCCCAGGTCAAAATGCATTTTCGAGAGTAGTACGTCCAATGCTCTTTCAAAATGACTCCTACCCACTCTAAAAATATATCCGTTATTGTTTATTCCGGATCCAAAAAGGGGAACAGGTTATAACAAGAGTCACAATGACGGTTTGCCTAAAATCCTTCACTCTCCGAAACAGGCACTGCACGTTCCAGTAATTATCTGCACGTGTTTAGGCACAAACATACTGTTGTTGTGCTCTGACGGAAACTCGGAAAGCAGTAGGGGTGCGTTTTTTAATTCACGCGCATCGTAGTCATGAATAATATCTTGTGTGACTCGGCCCACAATCGTAATAATCATTTAAAAAACAGCTCCCGATAGTTCCAGAAAAGTACCAAGTAAAGCAAACACAATCAATCACGTCCTAGGGGGCAAAGCAACTCTCAAATCGAAGAATTACGATGGTCATCATCGCAACCATTTTTTTTCGAGAGAACCATCGAGTAAATTGCATTGATGGGTAAATGTTGAAATTATAACAGCCAACGTAAAGAATCCCTGGGAATAGAAATTCAATTTAATTCTGTAATAAGATTGACTACATGTCCTAAAAATATTTAGTTGATAGCGTTATTTTAATTGCCAATTCTGATCATGGTTTTAATTTCTGACCCTAGCACCGTCTCAACAGGGAAAGTCGGGATAACACTCAACTGCTTGACACATTCACTGCAGTTCTAGCAGGTCTGTGGAAGGAGTTGAGTGAGTGTGGTTAAAAATCCTGCGATCAAGGCCTCAGCGAAATCTCTAATGATATATGATCCATGTTGAGTACTGCCAGTTGTGTACTCTAGTGGTTTATTCCGATGAACGCAGCTCGGGAGTCCCACCAAATGGTTCTGGTTGGGTTCCCGGTTAACTGTTAGAAATTCATGGATACATAACTGGTTACTGGTTAGTTTTTGAGCAAATAAAACTGTGTATTGCCAATTCGAAATGCTTCTCATTAGTTATAATGTTCACTCCAATTACTCTCACTTCCACGGTTATGGATTCGGCTTGTCGACGTTGGTAACGGGAAGCATAGCGCTTGTGTCAATTAACATTGACTTGGTGTATAGATTGTCAGTGTAATTTTGAGAACAGGCATGCTGCCCCTAATCCGCTGAGCAGAATTCTGAATTGGAATGAGCCACACTGTTATAAAAATATGAAATGTAGGTGCATTTGTAAACAAAACGCATAATGGGGGGTATATTTCTACTAGTTATTGCATTCAATCGGTTATTATACAGCAAATTGATTGAATTTATCCAGAATAAATCCGGCTGTCATGCACAAGAATAGTTTAGTTAACCGTCATTCTATTTATATGGGATAAAAATTAACTTTCTTTTCCGTTTCACTGAATTCATGAAATATATTCCCTACTTGATTGTATTTGACTGTATCGCGTTTTTCAATTATATTCAGTTTTAGTTTCCTTACATCTACCATACCACGTTGCCAAAAATTCCTCAGATCCTCCTTAACTGTTAAGTGTTTTTGCCAGAACAGGTGCGGACCGCTTTAGTTTTAACTACTGAGAACTCAAACGCAACCCAGATCCGGGATACTGCTCAATCTTGAGAACACTTACTTGCACTCGTAATGACTGAGAGTTTTCCTCATGAGACCGTAGTACTCGTTCGAACTGGTCGATAATTGACTTGATTGATTTTGCAATGCAGCAACCACTTCACGAATCGTGTCATTCCGATGCACATTACATTGCTCCGCCACTTTTTCCTGTCGCGCGAGGCACTTCGTTTTATGTTCATTTAGGACTGTAAAAGAATAAAATAAACGGTCAACAGCGCAATTCCCGATCGTGTATACAAACATCGTGTGTGTGTGTGTGTGTGATATAAAGCATTTGTACATGTTGATTGTGGATGGAATAGGATTGCTAAATTGGAATGGTTATTTATTGACAGTGCCTATCTGATATATGGCTCTACCAAAAAACAACTGAGATTAATGCGTGTTAGTATATCACGGTACGGGGAGTAGAGGTAAGCTGGAGCAAAATATTTGTCCCGATATAGTCTACGATCGTTCATGGCGGTGTTCTCGAATGTGTGCACTTTTTCCCACCCATCGAGCGAGGAAGCCATAGAGAATTGAGTCGGCTGATTGGGATGACTGTGGGAATGTACACTCAACTGTAAAGCCGATGGTGTATATATATAACTGTGGAAAGATAACTGGCATCTGATTACCGATCAATTGTTCGGTAAAATTTGATAATGTTTTTTAGCACAATTTGCCTGTCACTCAGTGCTTCATTCCCTGAGGTAGTGCTCTGCTCCGTTTGGGAGTTATTCGATGAAGGCGCAAAAACTGACTGCATGCCACTGTGCCTGTGGAGTACAGATTCATCTAGGCTAGCATAATTTCCTATGGGTTGATAGTCAGTTGTTCGTGCTCGCTCCTGAAATGTCTGAAATTTGCGTTGGCCCAAAATTCGCACAAGGCTGTACATATTTGGTCTTTTTCGTTTTGTTCCATGTAATAAATTGTCAAACACGTGGCTGATTATCTGATTTAACTGCACTAAACGGTGCTTCAAAGGAAATAACATTCCGATACAATTAGTTATGATTCAACTACGGGCTAAATGCAAATTTTACAAATAAGAATGACATAAAATTGTCCTTTCTCTTCCTTGGGTAAAAGGTTCCCATTTCGAACATTATTGGCGTGGTATGAAAATTCACTAATTCACTGTATTTTCTCCGTTATCATCTAATCAAATTGAAAGTGTGCAAGTGAGTAGTAATAATTTCCGTATTATAAATAGGCTGTCTGCTTCGTTGATTTTAGCTGTTCGATATTGCCAGACAGATTTGGCTGATATATTTTCAAATGATCATTCTCCAGGGAAACATCTAGGCCATGCTTGGTTCCTTGTTCGTGTGTAGCCAGCTATGATTCCGGCTACTTAAAATGGTCATATTTAAAACTCTCCAGTCCAAATAGTTACTTCTAATTTCGAAAGGAGAAATTCATCGTGTGTATAGCAAATGAAGCGTGAAATGAAAAGCTTAGAAGCACAGACAGCTGTTCTCACCTGGTTGGGTCTCATCGGCAGTGCGAACCCATCGACCGAATTGGGGAGCGAACCCGGGACCTCACAGGCATAACGCAAACATGCTACCCACTCGGCCACCGGGCAGCTGATCAGACCCATTTTTATATAGCATAACCCATTTAATTATACAAACCAAACGATGGAGCTTTGAGTGCAAACTGTGAGCAGCAAAGCTACAACGTTACACCGAACTATACCCATGATTGATGATAAGCGGTTAACATATATGAGTACTCTTTGCTGTCACTTTGGAACTATTCATAGAACCCATAATTAACAACGTTTATCACACCTAAATTTACAGTGATATTTTTCTGAAATTTAGCAAATTCGGTCCACCGATGAGGACTTATTTTATTAGTTCATTTGCAGTTTTTCTGCTGATTTAAGTTTCGGGTGATTATATTTGAATGGATATACGTTGGGGTTTGTCCGTGTCATACAGAGACGGCGGCCACTGCACACGCATTCTCACAGCCCAACTGGAATGAAAAAGAGTCATATTGGGACTGCAGTATTTCATATTCCCAGTAGACTTATCAGTGTGTGGAACCCGTGCCGTGTCCTATGTCAACTGACCACATTAACCAACCGGTGGCAGATAACAACGTCACATGAGTGTGTATTTGTCACTTGCGATTTAGTGAACAATTATTCAAATCTGGAGCACAAAAGTACTTTTTGGTGGTTCACAATCATAATGGGGAGAAATGTGTGGAAATCATTTTTACTCATTTTCATTTGGAAAGGTACCACTTTTATATTGACGCACGGCGAAACAAATACGTGCCAATAAAAACTTCCGCGTAAAGCGCATTCATTGACATTTCAGTAAATGTGAGTTATCACAACACTCTGATATCACTATGTTTTATCGAATTTAGTATCAGTATTAACCATTAACCGTTACAGACACAGACATACCACAACGATGAGTTGAATTTAAAAAGAGATGCGTTGAAAGCTCCTTGATGAATACGATTGTAAGCCTCATGAAAAATGTTACTCTGTTAACCACAAACACATTATTCACGTTGACTAAGGGTTGAACCTGTGGGTCAGCAATTTCGTCTGACAAATTCCCTAAGGTTTTCGCAATTACAAAATTTGTTCCCAGTCGGAATGCATAATGATAGCACCGGAAAGTCAATCAAGAGAGTGAATTCGAACATGTTTTTTTTTCGTGAATAATCCTCGCAGATAATGTTGTTGCCGGATTGCAATAGGTGGCACATTTCGATCGCAACTAAGTTCAATTAACTTCGTACTGCGTCAAGAACGATGATTCTGAATGAAAATGCTCAACCATAATGTTGACAGTTTTCAACACAGCATTGTCCAACTAGCACAGGCACAAACAATCAAAGTGTTCTGCGGATAAGAGAAAAAAGAAGACAAAATGGGATCCTCATTGCGCAACTATGGATGAAAAACCATTTCGGCGTTTTGGTCTATCAATGGCGTGGATAGCTTTCATTAACTCGATGGATAAATTTTCATGGTCGTGCAATTCTGGTATCTCATTAGGTGTCATAGCATAGTGCGACAAGCCTGATTGGTAAAAAGCATCGGCTGACAATATTTGTGAAATCCAACGTCTCTGACCCATGAGTAATTCAGCAATTTATATTTCAATTTATATTTCCAGGTCCAACTCTGTGGAAATGGAGTCCACAGCGGGTAATACTTGTGCAGCGTTTTCTTTCGTTTCCCCTTTTTTCTCTGTAACGGTTTGACAGTGGGAACGTTTTAAACTACAGAAAAACATGAGCGATTTTATTGGTTTTGACGAAATTTATTCGCATGCATCAAATGTAATTTCACAGTCTCAACTTTTATGATAGAAGTCCGTTTTTTTCAATCTGTCCTGACACCAAGCAACGGGTAGCCCTGTCCGCGTTATGGTGATCAATCACAGTTTCACATGAAGAAATGTAACGCAACTCACTTCGTAAATTATGCTCATGACACATGTAAGCTGCAGCTTTCTCAAATTTGCGTGTTTCCAACGAAATAGACCAGATCAGCTGACGAAATTTTTCCTCCTCGGTCTTTCGACACATTTCTTCGGATCGATTTCGCATACATTGAAACACCAGGATGTGCCATTTGGACCTGTGTGGGGTTGAAAGGTGGAATATCACGCACGATTACATAAGACATTTATGGAAGGTATCACAATGAATTAATTAGTGCCTCCCGTATCTGTTCATATACATGTGTGAATCAACGTTTTGGTTTGTTTAATAAATTTTTCGTTTTGCACGGGCTCGGAAGAGTATTGAGCTAATTTCTTCTTGAATTTTTATGCCGACTAAGCGGTAATCATTTGAGTGAGCAACTCTAGTTTCGATTCATACTTTTGACTATTTAGTGGTAGAAGCGTTTTCCTCTTACCTGGTCACCGAGTTCATCAGAAAAACTGCTTCATCAAAATACATCACAAAAGCTGGTCTCTGTGAAGATGTGAAATTCCCCATAGAATGAATTTTTCTATATGAATTCCCAGCCAGACCTTTTAAAACAATTGATTTTTCTTTATATTGTTTTCTTCATGTGGTGAAGGTTGAGCATTGGAGGAAATCGACACACTCCTGACCAAGGGTCAAAACCTTAACAGTCTTACGCTTACTCTATCTTAGCAACATTTAGTCAACTAGGGACTGCCTATTTGCGTAGGTTAAATGGCAGATTTTGACTGTGCGAACTAATAGAGAGGCAAGCGATCAAAAAAGGAGTTCGATAATGTATAGCCTTTCCTGTTACTCATCATATTTCGATGTTTACTTTGTTCTGTTCGTTTGAGATAGTGATGAACAAACAAAAATGACGAGAAACCGTCGTTTTCTGTCAAAATTGTTCACAACAACTAAAAAGAGGCGGACTATTTGGATTCATTATTGAATCAGGTTTGAAGAAAATGCTATTTACTGAACCTTATCTAGGTTTTTCTCTTCTAAGCCTAGTCTATCAGCTGGATGGCATGTTATTTGCTTCTGACGGACAATTTATTCAGCTGAACTGTACTTCAGTAGTTGAGTCTTAACTGGCTAAGGTGATCACCTCAGGCATCTAGCTCAACAATTCCTTATGGCGCTGGCCTCATCTTCTTAGCGGAAGAGAAAAAGACTAAGTAATCCATTCCTGTTTGCTTGAATTAGCTATAGTCTGATACGAGAGACCGGGACGAAACACGGCCTATAGCAAGACCTTGTGCATCAAAACAATCAAACCGACGCTGCTCATTTAACAGTCGATCATCTACCGAAAGTACGATAATCACCAGATTCTCTACCAATTTTCACCATTGTTGAATGACTCAAACAGGCGTAATGTGGTTGGCACTCTTTTATTACGTATCCACATTGTGGGGAACAATCGGAAAGCTCTGAAAACATTTGCTATCAAATGAGAGAACCAATGAAAAGTGACTTATTCACAACTTCACAGATATTTGCTGTTCATCACCTGGTTTGAGTCATACAGAATATACATGACGTTTTTCTATCAGAAGGCTGATTAATTTTCGTTGTGCTTATTGCCAGGCATTTATCATAGCACTTTACCCACTGATTACTGGATTAAAGGCACTGGTCAATGAAAAAAACAGTAGATGCTAAACAATAGGCAACGGTTCTCAAATGAGCAGAGAACCTGTCTGAGGTACATTTGTGACTAAGAAAGTGCATCATATTATGTTGCTTTGATGACATCCTGCTCTTCAACCAAATCACTTTTTTCCACTTTCCAAGGCTATTTTCAACATAACTACTTGCTGATAAAGACTAAAGAATTGGTGCTCGTCGCTCGCGTACTGACCAAATTTGAGTTAACCTGTTCACTGGGTATGGAAATTTGTTGGTAAATGTTTACGTTACCAACACCGAGGTGGTAAGTTCAGTGGACGTACCGTAGTACATCGGAGTGCGTTCATTAAGGGATGCATGTGAACCAATTTATTCATTTGGAAAACGTCAAATTAATCAAAAAAGAAAGCAATTAGGGTCAAAATTAAATTAAATATTTTAAAAATAAATACACTTTGTAAGTTTGCTCCGTAAATCGTTTCTATCGCTTGGAATATGAGCCAGACAATAATATAAAGGGGCATGTTACAATAGTCGTCAACTTCAATCGTAAGCGTCCCACCAATTTAATTCTATCTTGCAATTCAGAGCATAATGTGATTGCATTATCTCCTTTCGTTGCTGGTAGATCAAAACGTACTCATTGGCTACCCTTGAAGACGATATACAGTCAAGCATGAATAGACGATTCTGTTCAGTTTGATCTCGTAGACACAGTTGTATGACATGCTGAACAATTTTAGATACAGAAATCACAGATAAAATGTCTTATCTCAAAAAATACCAAGGTCAGCGTGCGTGACGATATCTATTTGTCAGACAAGCTGGCATCTGCGTAGTGGCTTGCATCTCCAACAGCAGTCATCAACACTGGCATAAACATTCGTACAATACAATGAGATTCTTTGTCGTAACGCTGACCAGATGACGAGATGCAAGCAATTTGGTAATGACTTCTCTTTCAGTTTCATTTGGAATGAGTGCACGCACTCTAATGAACGCATTGTAATCATGATTTGGTACTCAAATTTTATTTGTTCTACTTATATACTATAGTAAACTATATTTTACTATACTTGGTAACCAGAGGTTTGTTGATGTGTGAGACGTGGACTCAAGTTTCGCAATTTGCATTCCGCGTATGGTTGTATATATATATATCACTTAGGGACTAAAGAACGAAACCGTAGTTGGGCTGATTGTCCTTTTTCAACAATGCGAAGATTCTTATGACACAACAATTTTTCACAAGAGTAATTTCTGAGTTTTACTCCTATCCTAGAACCAAATTCTAACTGAGGAGAACATATACGTGTACTGGTCAATAAAATTATTGATTTCTGTTTGTTTGGGCCCCAGACTTTTATGAGTTAAAATTGATTTTATCAAGCAATAATTGAAATGATTTGCTTTGAATGAAAGAAAAATGAGTGAAAAAAATAACCCAGAGATTCTTATAACAATGTGGCTGGACGAGTGCGAAAAGCATAAATGGCTTCGAACAATCTTCGCCTGCAGCGCTCCTATCGGAATGATAAGCATTATGTAAATGAGATTCGACAGTGCCTTCTGGCGAGGAACAGAAAAATTGAACAGAAGAATCCGAATGGGCGCAATGAAGCAATTCGCGAGGTGAAAGTGATTTGGATGATTGTAAGCGAATGTGTTTGTGTCTGTGTCTTCATGCCAGGTATCTTTACTGGGTCTGGAAGAAAATACATTAGTTCATAAAAATTACAGACAAAATACATCAAATCTGGTCTCCATCGAGGGTTACAGGGAACGGATGACGAAAATGCATATTGTTTTATCATTTTCCGTCGGCTAGCATCTTTATTTAATTAGATTATCGAAGAGCTTTTGTCTACCTAAAAAAATGATATTGCAGGTCATAGAAAAACTACCGCATTTTATCATGAATAATTAAAAAATGTCGACCGGTTTAGATTACTTAAAAATGCGTCCGCTTGGAAAAAATAAGTGTGAAATTAGTACAGCTGGGTGTGAGTTTACATTTTCAGGGAGAATTTGCTGAAAACCTAGTCAGTAGTCGAAACTGGTTTAAAATGAAACCGTAAAGACTTAAAGGCATTCATGCACTCCCATGAACTTACGTACCTCGATCAGCCGGGTACTGTCCATCGCGGAGAGAATCTCGGTTCCACTGAATAACACCCCTCCAGCATTGTGCGCTCAGGAATACATGGTTTTGTGAAATTGTCATGTTCACCCCTCACTAATCCTATGGCGTAACAAGTATACAGAAACCCATCAATAACCCGGATCGGATTATTGATTATATGATTTTTTATACCCATTTGACCTTGCACTTCAACCCCTTTTAATGATTTGGTCTCCTTTCTCTCGATACTGTTCACTTTGACTCACGTATTCGTACTGCCTTTGACTGATTAACAAAACACACCGAATTTGAGCTTGTGTGCCTTTGCTTTCCAGAAGATTGGATTTGTCAACTTATCACCCGGAACACTTGCGATTATCCGTGTTAATATAATGAATACTCATCGTCCACTGCTCAGGGGTCGACAGAAATACCAACCAAATTTTTCGGGGTACATATATACACGTCTCTGTTAAATACTTAGGAAATTAACCTCCACGCTCCTGAAGTCCTCACGATTCATCAGTCGATGCCTAACAAGTCGGGTGCGCGCGCATGTTAGGTGCGTTTCTCTTTACCCAATAAAAGGTGGTGTGGAAACTCTGCATGACCAGGAGTGTAGTATTTGGCGGAGCGAAATATGCAAAATGATCTCATCTGCGGTAATCTTCTCAAATGATTTTATCTCCGTATCTTAACCTCCTGCACAAGTGGTGAAAAATGTCTTATACAGCTCATCTTACAGTGATAGTCCTTAAGGTGCTTTCTATTCCAGGCGGTATCCGCAAACTTCCGTTTTCATTCATCCTCATTTCATTTCATCCGACTTTGCCAAAACAGTTCCAGGTATCTACTTTGAGACGCTCTTGTGCAATTATCCAATTGTGAAGACGTTGAGGCCTTGTTTTTTCCCCGTCATTTTGTTACAACAGGAAAATAATTACCACTAATCAATTGCAACCCTTATGATATTATTAACATTTAACTCCCATTATGGATAGATTAAAGTCATTAGGACTTTCCTCGGTTTGTTTCAAGAGTCGGGCGACACCCTACGGGGTAAAAACAATGTAGGTGTACTTTGTGTGTTCCCGAAGTAGCCGAAAGCTGGGTTGAAAGGAAAAGCATCCGTGTGACGCATTCCCTTTCCAGCCGCAATGCGGACCTACTCAATGCCAAATGACCGATTTGGGTTGTCCTCTGCCCGTTAAGAAAGATAATTCAGGGACCTCCAATTGTTTGCAACTTGAGCCTAACAGATGACAAAGTGCATGTGATCTGGCTACAAACGTCAGATTTGAGTTTTCGGGCAGCGTGTGAACAGTTTGAGCGTCCAGACCATCCAGCGCGAAAATCAACTCCTTTGAACTGTAAAACAATACAGACCACAGTTTCCGCGGATTCTATCGATTCGGCCATAAACAAATGGTTGAAGGAATCAGCGAGTTATCACAAAAAGTGATAATATTTTTTTAATTCTACCCAATTTCGCCGAATCAAAGTGTAAATGTATCACATTTGAAGCATTTCTATTTTGCACTGTACTGCCTACATTTTAAAACATTCATTGGTTGCACTTTATTGATTACCTGAAGCACAATGAAACGGAGGTGAACAGTTTTACAGCCAACTCAATTACCAAAAGCAGATATTAAAAAAGAGAGATTAACAGGCAAGCTTGTTATGGTGATTTATCAACCGGATAAAGCAATACATTTTTATGTTATCGTTTGGTATAACAAAATAAACAAAGATACCAGATTTCATGTACAAGACGTGTTTTTTATCTTTCCACTTTCTACAAGCTGGATTTGATCAGATCCCCTGTGGGAATTGTGTCACACCGTGTGGATTCGAATCCCATAGAGGCTGCTGATATTTTTAGAATTTTAAAAGATGAATTTGTATTCCGTTAACTAGCAAACAGTTAATTTTATCCCGATGATGCACGGACTGTTACTTATTTGGGCTGCGATATAAGCTCATCAAGATGAAATTTCACCTTGACGTGATGTGATGACTTGCTCGCATCTACGACCCTTCGAGCTACATATGATGGTTTTAGAAAGATACAGATCCAATCATGCCGGAAAGGTCAATGGGTATAGGCCAAACAAGGCTAAGTCTCAAAAGACCAATTGCTTGGACACCTCCTGGCTTCTTTTATCTATCTAACTCAGCCCCTTTAGAGATAACTTCAGCAAATAAATACGGTAAGAGGCAATTTACCGGTCAAAGAAAACCTCACCAGATGGATGTAAGAGTGGGGTACATGAAGCTTCCTCTCGAAGGTGGGAAAAATCTTCGCGATTCATGAGAAAGCTACCAAACACCGAAGCTGGTTAGCCCCCAGCAAATAAGGTACTGTCCCGTCCACGTTCTGCTGGTCCCACTGGGTGCATGAGACTAAGGGTCAATCCCGAACAGCGGATCGAAAAAAGAACGCTCCAGTGAATAATACACCTAACCGAAACCCGAAGGACTTTCCTGAAAGGTACTTACAAGCTCCCAAGTGGGTGCTTTGGTCGCACTCTCACACCATTGTGGAAAAAACTCTTTCTGTTTAGTTTTTTCTCTCAATCCCGAACGATCCTAGACGCCTCCCATTGTGCCACCCGTTGGATGTCACTCAGCGTTTTACCAATAAGGCCAAACAATCAGAAGTTGCGAGATTTTTAACGCTAAAATTCCCTTTTTACTTAGCCGCGTTTAAAGTCCACGCACTCTATCAGATTGGTCAACAAGCTGCCTTGTTTAGAACCCTTGAAACTTTCAATTTAGATGTGTACTTTGTGTTCGAAACACGCATACATGACCCTACTTCAGTTATCCCCCTACGTTCTCTTAACCCAACCTCGATCTCACGCTTCATCCTCCGTGAGTCATCCGATTTGGTATCCGAAGCTTGCAGTGTAACTGGTGTTGGGATTGCGCTGAGCGCTCGCTTCTTGACGGGATTCCAGTCAGTATCCGACTGTGCGCTGTATGTCTCAACGGCTCCGCAC